ATCATGCTGATTATGATCTTACTTCTAATTTTAACCTATGCCATTTGACATAAAATGTACCTGCTATTTACTAAACTTCTAGACCAGCAGTTCTCAACCTTTTGACTCACGTGTTCCATCTAAACAAAAATGGAAAACCTTTAGTACCACCACTACAAAGTACTACTACCACCACCAATCTTAAACAAAGCTCAGATAGCATAAATTTACGAGTGTTAGAGAAAAAGGCTCAATCAGGATGTTGGGATTTTAGTTTTTGAAATAAATAGTTAAAAATGCTTTGCTTCTTTGTGTGCCACCTATTTTTTTCTTGCGTACCACCGTTTGAGAACCTCTTGTCTAGAGGGAGACCTGCTGATTAGAACAAATTTGAAAGGCCTGATGTAGGCACGGTTAGCAAGTTAGTCAGGCTCTGCACTTGATGCAGTTAGTGTGATAGTTTTGTGCAGAATTTCAGAGGTTGTTGAATCTTTTTTCAAATTTGTCCAACCTATTACAAGTGTAAAATATTTAATGCTACTTGATAAACTGCTTGAAGTTTATTTTATTCTCAAAACTTATTAATAATTATGTTAATTAATTCATGTTTAGTAATAAGGCATATTACTACTTAAGGATCTATTTTATTTTTAGGATGATATTACAAAAGTGAAATTCAGGCATAGAATAATATTTTTAATTGAATTTATTCAGTTCCCATTTGCTCATAGGTCCTTAATTTTTTTCATTAATGGTCCTTAAAAGTCCTTAATTTCCGTGTGCAGAAATGTGTACGAACCCTGTAAGGGTGATTTTAAAATCTCAAAAATCAAAAACCTCAAAGGAAATCTTAAAAATATTAAAGCTCTACCTGTCATGTGAAGGTTCTACTGTCCATGAAGCTAATCAGAAAGCATGTTTGATGTCAGAATTGATTGAAAAGAACTAAAAAAATGTGATAAAAAAACTTTTGGCACAAAAGCAAAAGATTCTACTGTATTACACTGTATTATTAGAGATGCTACATACACTGATGTCAGAAATTTATAATGGATTAAAACTGTTTTTTATGCCTCTGAATGCAACTTGGATGTCTCAAATTATAGACCATATCGCATGGTCAAGAGCTTGAAGTGTAACTGTTGAAAGCAGCTCATTTTCAGTGGTATGTATAAATATGAAAATTATGATATTTTGTTTCATGATGCAATGTTAGCACTGCTTGGTTACTTGTTATAGACTGAATCATCAAAAATTGTTTTTAGCATTCTAATCTAGCCGAGAATGTTTAGGAAGGTCATCAAAACATGAATTTATCTCTCACTAAGGTGGCTAATGGCATTTCATTATTTTCACTGTGACACACTGTTTCCAAAACTGTGGTGGCAATGCTATTACATGGGAAAATCCATGTGATGAAGGTTGTTAGAGATGAAATGTTCTTCTACTGAGTTCTTCTGTTCCCCTAAGAGGCAAACTTAGTTTTTTCTTTGGCTATTTCATTATTGAATCAGCATGCCATGCCCTTACATCCAAGAAACTAGACATGAGGCAGAACAGCCTTGACCACAAAGTGTACTGGACAGTGTATTTCCCGCTTGGTGCTGTGAAGGCAATGACCATAAATTTGTGAAGCAATACCCCAGAATAATAATAACCAACGACTCCAGAATATTAAATAACCAGCGACTCTTAGATACCTTGTGTTATGTGTAATTTTCCCAATAAAGATATCGTGATAAAAATTTTAAAATATTTTTCTGATGTTGAAAATATTTCACAGAAAGCAGACTTCCTACCACAGTGGATTCCAAATTTGCAGTGCATGTTATTAAGATTTTATTCACAGCAGTTGTGGAATTGAAAGTTGTGAAATCTTTTCAATGTTTGCACAAAAGTATAGACATCTTCCTGCAATCTGAATCATGCCAGTAGAAAATTATGCATTATTTTTTACTTATATATTAAGCAAAAGGTAAATTTGACATTTTTTTTAACATTTTTTATAGATAAAATGATTATTCTTAATAGTAAATGTGTATTTTAAAGTAAAATATCTTAAGGAGAGGGCCTGAGCCGTGATTTTTTATGCCGAGCAGTTTATCGTGTAAAATTATTAATGCATATTGAAATTTAAAAAAATAATTAATGTATAGAATAATTGAAATTAACTTTTAATATTTTTTTAATTAGTTGTTATTCATTTTGTTTGGTAGATGTGAGAATGCTAATACATTTTTATATAAAGGACTGGATATAGTGCTCCAAATTTTTTGTCCTTGAAATTCATTATAGTGAGGTTTGATTGTATTTATAAAATATAATAAATGTTATATATACTCTGCTATGTTCTGAAATAATACATCTTTATTTCATAATCATAATTACCATCTGAGTTAAAAAGTGTAGGTATTTTGTAGCAGGTGGGGAGTAAGGAAGGATATTCTGTAGCAGGTAAGGAGCAAGGAAGGGTATTGTTTTATGGTGGGAAATGAGCTAAAAGGTTGAGAACCACTAGTCTATATATTATTATATTTTCCCCCAAGTTTCAAAAGCATATGTAATACATATTATGTAATAATAACTGTATTGCTAGTGGCATTTATTTATAATTTTTTGATGATGTATTTTCAATTCGTGCAGTATGTATTTAAAGTTTAATACACATTTACTTGTTTTCATAATTATAATTTAATTATATTTTAAGCTTTTTAGGGGCAAAATATTATAAAATATATGTATTAGCTCTCTTTATAATAAAATCGAAGTATTTTGAACTATTAATCTTAAATTTCTGCTAAGTCTCAGATGCTTCTAATAATAATTACTATTAAATTTTATTTTAGCTAACTTAATATGCTTTTGTCTTGTTTTGAAATAATAATTCTATTGTTAATTTAATTCAGCTATTTTGATCTTTGAAACATAGATACAATTTCTTAATTAATGTTATTACAGAATTTATTTGGATATGCATCTAGTAAAATGTGTCCCTGTTATTATTTTGGTTTCAAAACCTAAAACAAGGTTACATACAGATGTAAAATCCCAAAACAAAAAACCTAAAACAAGGTTACATACAGATGTAAAAATTTATTTTAATCCATGAAAAAAATTCCTTAAGTGGAGATCTTGGTATTGCATTATGTGCAGTTTTCAAAATTTATTTCTGCAGTTGAGAATGTTCTGATATAAATTAAATTGACTGAAGCAAGAACTGTTCTATCCTGAGTAAATTTATAAAATGTAACCTTGGATGGCTAAGAAAGAGGTAATAAAAATTAATTCTAAGATCATCTGAGTTCCTGTTATGCTTATAGAACACAAAATATTTCAAAATGATTAATTGCATAGTCAGTTTATTTCATTGGGAATGTAAATTGAGTATCTATTGATCTAGTTTTTATGATAAATCTATGATAATATTGTCAAATTCAGCGAGTCTTATAAATGTAAAAAGATTAATTAAATCTGTAAAATCAATGAATTTAATAGTATGTGGATTATGATAAAAAAATTGTAATAACTATACCAAGGAAAAGTAGACTTTAAAGTTGGCGCCAAAGTAAAAAGTTTAGTAAAAAGTCTTTATTAAAAAAGTATACATATGTACTACATTTCATTCTACCTTATATTTACTATACAGTACATACCACAGTACTATACAGTATGTACTACAGTCAAAAGTCGTTAATCCGGACTCGTCGGGACTTTGGCGATTCCGGATTATCGATTTTTCCGGATTATAGATCATCAGTTTAAATCTCGTGAGATGGCATGCAGAAATTCTAAAATTAAAAATATGAAACCTTAATTTATGAAATAAAGAATAATTATAATCTAAAGGGTAGCAAAATTTACAAAAAAAAAAAAAAAAAAAAAAAAAAAAAAAAAAAAAAAAAGAGCTTAATATTTATTTGTTTACTTTATTAAACATTTCTTTCAATGTAAGTTGTTTTAAGTTGCTTCGTTTTATGTGATAATACTTTCTCTTTAATTCTATAAACAGACACAATTTCTTGTTCAGTTACAAAGTTCCGCTGTTCAAGTCCCGTTAATTGTTGTGCAGAGAATACCGACTAACTTGTCAATCGAAATTTTTTCGTTTTCACTAACCTCTCTGACACATTCTTCATCTCTTTATCCATTTTTTGCAGCAATTCCACTTTTTGTTTGATGGACATCGAAACATACTTTTGTTTTGTACGATCCTTCATGTCTTTATCCATTTTTTGCAGCAATTCCCCTTTTTGTTTGATGGACATCGAAACATACTTTCGTTTTGTACGATCCTTTGGGAGCTCCAGAATCGGAAATTCTATTTGACATAATCGAAAGTTCAAGTTTACTTTTATAAAATTGCTCTTACAGTCTGCAAAAAATAATAAGCCGGATCCAATTCGAAGATTAAGGAACAACGCAATCATCAACATTAACGGAAATAGATAATTTTAGATTATACCGTCTGTTATACATAAAACGCTCATGCGAAAACGTATTCTGCGCTTGCGCACACGCATATGCGCAGTGGTAAAAGGTCTTACGCGCACGCGTAAACGCCTATGTGCATGTGTCAACGCGGCGCATGCGCAGGAAATTTTTAGCTTTGAGGTCCGGATTATGAGTGTCCGAATTAACGACTTTTGACTGTATATCTCTATCAAAGAATTTGTCAACTTTTGGAAATTAATTTTTGAAAATATTTTAGTTGATAAGATGACTTTGTGTTTGCATGGATGTTGTTCTCAGTTTGGCCTAGATTTTGAATAAAATTATATTGATTTTGAAGGATGATTAGGCAAAGGTTTCCTTTCCCTCTTGGAAAGGGGAAAAATTCCTTTGTTTTCCTTTTTATCCTTAAACTTTATAGTTTTTGTGCAACCTTTATATATTACAATTGCTTCATTGATTCGTCATCAAGTTTGGGTGAGAGTAGAATTTTATACTTGATTGTATTTAATATTCTAGCAAAGTATATTTTGATTATTATTGATAATTTGTTCTATCCCATTATATCACAGATATCCCTGATTGAGAAGATTCGGTCCCTTGAAACTACTTTGTCATTAAAAAGTAAAAATGATAATGAAGCTAAGATTGAAGACCAAGGCTCTATTTCTGATCAAGCATGGGATGAATACCAAGTATGTGATAAAACATTTAATCTTTGCATTAATTATGAAGTTTAAAATATCAGAAGTTATTCTTAAAACTTGTTTTTTCATTTATAATGTTAATGGTTTCTAACTTTTAGATTTTCATAGAAATATGGTACAGTAGGCCCTTGTATTATAAATATCTCACTTTATGAATAGTTTGGTTTGCAAACAAATTATCTGAACAAAAAATGCCTCAGATGTTGAAAGTCTCAAGCTATGAAAATTCGATTTGGCAATATATAATTTTTGAAAGTATTTTGAGGTAACTTATGCCCCATAATTAACACTCAGAGTCTTCTGGAAACATCATTTTAATCTTTTCCATTGCTCAACTCCCATTAACAAGGTCTGACAGCAAATGACTTCATCCTGGAAAAAATTATGGCCAGATTGGTTAGCAAGCAGGGATCATGAGCACTCTGATGCTTTGGACTTTTTTGTTATCTGTGGTATTGTATCTTTAGGCAAAATTGTAGAAGGGACTGCAAGAAGTTACTGCTGGGCCATAAATATGAGCTCAACAAGAAAGAACTATAACAACTTCAGAAGCATTAACAAAAGACAATTGTGGAAGTAACGTTTTCAGAAGAGGGAAAAACAAAAAATGAGCCTAGCTTTCTAATTTTCAAATAGGGTTAAAAAGCAGTGTAATCATATAATGATATCACCATAATAAAGCAGTAGCAAATTAGAGGATAAGTTTTTTCATTGACAGTATCATGCCTTTAGAAAGATTTTAAAGCATTATCAATAAAGAATCACATAGGACACATTTTAAGTGAATCTGGAGGCCCAGTGAGTCTTGGGAAGAAGAGTGACACTTGGAGACAAATCAAATATAAAAGACCCCGCCCCCCTCAAAAAATAGTTACACGCTGCTTTTATGGAAGGGAATTTTCAAACATCATCATCTTCCTTGTCATTTAACACTTATGTGATGTGCTGTGAACACACTCCTTTTAAAAACAGTAAAATTAAGTTTTTGTCAATTTTATCTGTGTAGTATTGTGTTTATTTTTTTTATATATTTTTTATTCGATGATTTCCATCGGTTTTAGATTATGAACTTCTGAGCAAAGGTACTGTTATAGAATTTAAATAAACAATCATATATGACATCATAATTAATTTTATATAAATTCCTATGGAGAAAATTGTTTCAGTTTTCAGAAATTTCAGTTGATAAATGACCTTTAGGATCACATTAAATTGGTAAACTGAGGTTTTGCTGTTTCAGGAAAATTACAGTTAAACTGATTGAATTGTAGTTATACTTTATATGCTATACATTAGCTTACATTTTATCAATGGAAGTTGTTTTTGAAACATCTGTTTTTCATATGACTGAAATTTTATTAATTGCTGCATAAGCTGTAAAATGTTGCACTTTTATTGGCTGTTTTTGCCATTTTTCAGAATTTATCATTCTTCAGATTATTATTTTATATTGTAGATGTATTGCAGCTCATTATGATTTTTCAAACTTTTCTCATTGTGAGACCCTTTTTAAGTTCTGAAATGTTTAAGAAATACTGGAGTAAGTTTGGGGTCTTGGTTATAATGAATGCTAATACAGATATTTTAGATAAACAAAATAAACATTTATTCAGGTGTTTATAGCATACCTGTAAAACAGACTTAATTTTTCAGTTTTTGATGTTAAAAAATTTATAAAATTAATTAAATAAAGCAATTAATATAAAGAAAAAGTTTAGATGTTTTTAGTTTTCAATGATTTCGATATATTTGAGTTTTTAATTATGTTCTTTTAATGTCAACCTGAATGTTTAGAAACTTGAATTCTTATACCAGATGCAGCATCAAGTTGGTTTCTGTATTTGTACTTTGTTGTAGTATAATGGGAAGAACCTGTCTCGTACAAAATGTTTGTCACAGGAGGAAGTAAACTATGATTAACTCAATTTGTAATCAAATTTATCCAAAATTCATTTAATGGTAATTTTTTTAATTTTATGTCTGAATCGGTTGTTGTATCAATTAATTTTTCAAAATTGGCTAAACATGGACGAGCTGTCATGAAAAGATTTGGAATCCAAGAATTACCTTCCTGGCATGTGAGAAAAATTGTTCAAGTGTTAACTGCAAGTCATGCAATATTTCATTGTAAACTTTATTGTCTGTTTTTTTAACTTTCAATTAAAAAAGTCATCTAAGGTAGGAGAAGAGTCAGGTTTAAAGAAATTCAGAATATCTGCTGTTTGAAAGACACAGTTTTATCCTTTACATTGAAAGTATACATGCTTTTTCCCCTTTAAATTTATTTCATTACACTTAGTAAATATATCTGCTAAATAAGCAACACTCATCAATCATGTACTTTTATTTATTTTTCTGTAATATTTCCGTTGTAGCTGAAAACTACAATATTCACTTTTTTGAAAACCATAATACTTTTAACAACAAATATCATACTTATCAGTTAAAAAAACTTCTGTACTTAACAGTTTCAGAAAGAAGTCAAAATAAAAGTAGTAAAATATCTGAAGAAAACTAATATTCTTAAAATACTTGACACTGTGAAATACATCTAGTCACAGATCAGAAACACCAACAGCATTCTGCATGTATTTCATTTGCAAGTTAAACCATGTGGTGTAGTTTTACATTACTAAATTTCTCTTGTGCATTATTAAAAACACTTGTTTTTTCCCCCTTCAATTTCATTTTGAGAGTTGTTTTAAATTGTGCTAATTTCAGAAAAGCAGAGCACTGGAACACTGAGTGATTGTTTAAGAACACAGTTTGGGAAATGCTGATCTAGAGCAGTGTTTCTTAAGCTGTGGGTCACTACCAAAATGGAGTTGCGAGTAGAAATTTTGGGGTCACGAAAATTCAATTCGATAGTTGATTGTAAAGAAACTGCATTCATAAGACTTTTAAAGAAATTACCATTAATTGACATTAATGAGATTAGGCTTATAAAGACATTACATTAATTGATATTAATGAGATTAATTACCTGTTATATAAAGTGCAAAAGGAATTTGCAAAGCTATCTAGCGATTCAAACCTAAAATTTTATTTTTCACAAAAATCCTTGATGAATTCTGGATTGGAGTTAGAACTAGATTTCTCATTGTTTCTGAAATGGCATTAAATGTTCTTCTCTCATTCAGCACCATATATTTTTATAAAAACATTTTTTCAGCTTTAATGCTAATTAAAACCAAATTGTTGAAGATGTCCAACATTGTCAAATATTGCAGCAACATTTAATTTGTTATGCAGCAGAAAATGAGCACATCTGTCTTATTAGATTTTTGTTTGTTTAAAATGAATCCTAAAATATTTCTTTTTATATGTATATTGTTTACCAAAGACGTAAATTATTTTTTATTGGAGGATATTTATTTTTATACCTTTATTTTATTTTTAATATCTGGAGTTGGTGGGGGGAATGCCAGTGATAGAAAGAGGTCGCGATTGAAAAAAGTTTAAGAAGCCCTGATCTAGAGCATCATAATAAATTTTTTTAGTGCTCATTATTACTAAGGATTTTATATATTAAAATATGTCTATTAATTAAAATTATATAACAGTAAAATGTAATCCTCATTTTAAAAAGAAATTTACCTCTTTGTGCTCGGAATGCAATGTAACACACCATGTTTAAGTATTTTAATTAAAAGCACATTAATCATCTGGCTAAGCATTTATCTTCATAGAAAAGATTGTTTGATTTTTATATTTGTTTTAACCAAGCTTATATATTTGTCATTATTTTTTCTGGTATCTTTAAATACGTATATATCCATCTTGGAATTTATCCAAATCATCAAAGGAATGTATTAGAAGGAGAAGAGCCTCAAGTTAAAATGACATTTTTGAATTATAATAAAGAAAAATTACTTCTTTCTTATTCCCAAGATCTTATAATAAAGAAAAATTACTTCTTTCTCATTCCCAAGGTATTGACATTTGGAAAGTTACTGAAATATTTCCTCTATCATTTATGCTATTTGATGGAGAAAATTGCTTGATTTTTTTTTTTTTTTTTTTTTTTTTCTGAATAAAGTTATTTATACAATGAAACTTACTTTTTTTTTTCATGGAGGATTTACATAAATAAGAGTTTTTTTAATTTAATTTTTTTCACGAGGTAAATTATGTGCATGTTGTGTCAAAAAAGGTTTTCGTGGAATAGATCAATTAATTTAAACTATAAGGACTAGTTAAAATCTTATTTATAAGATAATGTCTTGTATAATGGTTATGGTTGGTTTAATTTGTTTTAAATTTGTGCTTGGTAGAGATGTATTGAAATATTTTGGATAGTTCAATTTTTAAAACTAAGAAAAAATAATCATACGGATTGATGACTCAACTGAAAAAAGTTTTTGTAGGAACAGCTTTTGTTTAAATCATTGTGAAAACTCACTATACTGAAAAGTATTGTATTATAGAATTTTAAGTGGAAGAAAAATACAATAGTTACTTCTTTAGTCTTTTCTAGTATCTCTTTTATAGTATCTCTTTCTAGTATCTCTTTAATTTTCATACTATTATCATAGTAGTTTTTTTAATTTAATTTTATTTATTTAGCTTCAAATTTAGTTAAGTATGTGAAATGAAATCTAATTAATCATTTAGATCTGATGCACAGAATTCCTTTATATAGTGCATTCAAAAATGTGGATTGTAGGTACTTTTACTGTGACAGAAGTACTGAAACATATGCTTGAGTCATTGAAATGTGTACATTTGTTTTATGAGAATGTCCCAGACAGCCATGAACAAGGCTAGACTTTGAACTTCAGTTCAGCAGAGAATTCTGTCACACAGGTGCATTAATAAATACGATGCCTGACATATGCAAGTCAGCTGCGTTTAGAAAGTTAGATCATTGTTCTGTTGAATGCTGAATGATACAAGTGTGTGTTATAATGTTAACAATGGAGGCAGCCAAGGGCTTGGCATATGAGGAGGGACCTAAAACTATTTAAGAACTCGAGGCAAAGTTTATTCACTATAACTGTCGGTTCACTTTTCAAATTGTTGCCACCAAATATTATAGCCCTGTATTATATTTAAAGAAATTAAATAATGAAGAATCTGCATAAATTAGGAGTTTGTTTTATTATCTATTTCATATTTTGTAAAACTTTAACAAACTCAACGATTTCAAAGTGAGCAGTGACAACACTGTACGGGGGGGGGGATTATTTCCAGCGCTTGAGACTGTGTATTGGAAATGCTAAAGATATGCTCATTTTAAAATTATTTTGTGATATTACTGTTTAACTGAATTTTCTGGTTTAAATGCGAAGAAAAATAAATAAAAGTAACACACAAATTGTTATATATATATATATATATATATATATAAATAAAAAAAAAAAAAGCCCCTTTGGGCATAATGTAAAATTTGACAGCTTTCAGATTATTATTTTCTAGTATTTGTTTTTGTTGCATTTAATGCATTCCCCCCCCATAAGTAATTGTTTTGAGACTGGAGTTTACAGCCGGAAGAAAACTAAAATGTTGTATTTCAACAGAAATATGACATTTTGCCTAGAGAAGCAAAAATTTGCATTCTGGGAAGTTATTATCATAAACAGTTTAATGTTATAGATCAAAATTTGTCTGTGAATACTAGATTTGTGCAATTCTCTCATATTTTTTAAACAAAAACATCATTGTCTACATGGGAAAGATGACGGTGTGTGCAGTGCCAAGTTTCTGTAGTTTTCTGTTAATGTTTTTTTAAAGCTGAAACAAATTACTGTGTGCATGGGGAAGAACATTGGGAAAAAAGTGTATGAATGTCTCTAGCACTTTTTTATTTCATTAACTGGTTGTTGTTGAAAATGGCTGTTGTCTTTTGCATTTTAAGTTAGCAGAAAATTAGTCCAGGGGTGTTGACTTTTGGGAGAGGCAGTGGGTGAGCAGAAAATCATAAATATCTTAACCTTTTTGGCATTCTGTTGTGATTAATTAATTTGAATTAAAATGTGTTTTACTTTATTCATATATTTTTTAAGGATCCACCATACTTGAGTGAACCTTATTCTGAGCAGACAGCAGATGAAGATGAAGTGAGAAAATTAATCAGCTTTGGTGATGATTACCGTGCAATTCTTGGCAGCTATTCTGATGGGTCTTCTATAAGTGTGAAAATTCCTTCTCATAAAAGCAGAGGAAGATCCAGATCTTTACAAAAAGTGAGTATTTATTATTTAAGAATTTAAAAAAAAATGTTTGAAGTGTTCTAAAAACTGAAAATTAAATCTGTTTTTAATCCTAAAATTCAATACAATGGGTGAAATGTAATTTAAATTCTAATGCCAAATAGGAGGAAATTAATGCATATTATGTCTGAAGATTTATGTATTGAGAAGGCTAAAGTAATACTGGAAATGAGATAAGAGATGGCTATGCAAAATTTTATGTATTATAATGTATAACATACCACTGAGTATTGTATATCTCTGGAAAATTAAATTGTTAACGACTTATTTTCTCAATTATTTTCATATTACAGTTAATTCATGAAATTATTAAAAAAGTGTAAGAGAGTAAATAATTTTTGTAACATATTTTTTAAATGTAAACTTATTTATGTATTTATTATGTATTTTTAACAGACTAGTAGTCAGAGTAGTCGCACATCAGTTCCTGATTCAAATTCTGATTCAGAAGATTTTCACAATATATTAAAGACAAGCAGTCGTGCCCTGCAGTTTGTGAGCTCTAGCATAAAAGACAGTTCTGCAAATATGTCGTCTTTATCATCTGAATTTGTAAGATATATTTTTATTACTGCCTTTTGGATCAGCTTGATTTCCTGTACGTTAAACTCTATTGGTTATGCAATTTTAGTTCTATATTTCAAACTATGAAATGTTTTCTGTATTTTAATAAACTGTTAAAATATGACCTTAAATGACAGTACAGATTGATTGAAAAAGGGCTAAATTATATGAGAAAACAGAAAATGTAGAAAAACTTTCTGTGTTTGTTGTACTTCTTTCATTGAACAGTATTGAACATATTTTTGTGATGATGTTTTCATATGCTAAGTATGTGCTTGTCATCATTGTCTACTCACTTTTGGAACCTACCTCATATCAGCGCAGCTTGAGTACACATGCCTGGTAGAATTATGTATATGGTGGTTTTTATTATTTCATGCGTATTATCAAAATTGCATGGTTTTGCAATTTATGTGAATATGGTTCTGTGACCATTCTCCACAGCAAAAAATCACATATAGTGGAAATTATTGATAGATCATTAATACTACTTGTAAGTGAGTTTGTTTATCTTTGCCACTGATGTGATTAGAAAAGTTGAAAACAAATTTACATATTAAATTTTTAGTATTGTATTTGCTAATGCAGCAAATAAAAAATAGAAATTATAAATTAGTTTTTTTACTTGTATTTTATGCTTGTTCAGGACATATATATAATTTACTGGCTAAAGATTTAAATATATGAAATGTTACTGGGCATGTTATATTTTCAACTAAAAAAAATCTTTAAGTCTTCAGCTTCTCCAAGCTGTATTTAATGAGATCATTTAAATATACTATCACAAGTATATTGGAACTCAGTACACAGCTCTTTGAAAGTTATATAAAGAAGTGGCCAATTTTCATTAAACTTACTTCTGCCTACTGTTGTGAAAAAGAATCAAGATGGCAGTAGACGAGAATGTTCTCTCAGAAGTTCTTAATAAGGCAGTCAAAAGAAATGCATATCTCTTACTTTGTATGGGGCCAGTTTAAGTTGCTTTTGATAAAATCCAGAAAAATAATTATAGCAATGCTGATGCTGTTTTGTTGAAATTTAAAACGGTTTTGAATATGATTTAAAAATTCTCGATAAAGAATGAATTAAGTTATTAAAGAAAACATATCAGCATCAGTGCATATTTAGCATATATTTTATTATTAAAATATAAAACTAAAGCTCTTATTTTATATTATCCCTAATTATTAATAATTATATTAATCTCTGTGAAAATATATCAATCTTCTTACATCTGAACTGAAAGAAACAGGCATTGGAATTAATAAAAGAAAAGTATGCAGACTACTTTGTTCTGCGTTGCACTGAAATTTATAATTTGCTTTCCACCTTTCTGCAGAAGTCTTTTTGAAAAATCAATGAGTCATCACACTTCTGGAAAAGAATAACTCTTGAGAAAGAATGCACTATGGGAAAAGAACTGGATATCATTGAAATATTCAGTATAGAAAAGCTCCTTCAGTGAACCACTAAATGCAAATGCAATTATTGCAGATGTAATGTGATAAAGTGGTTTAAAAATGTATGATAGTTTCCAGATTAAATATCATTTCAATGGTTATATTTATACAGATTGTTTAAAATATATGCAAGAGGTTTTGTTGATAGTATATATGTGTATGGAAGTTTAAGTGATTAATGTGACTCGACAAGTTACTAATGCCAAAAAGCTAACCAAATATTTTGTTCTATTTTATGCTACTAATTAATAAAATTATATATGATTTATAATTATATTAATCTCTGTGAAAATATGTCATGCTTCTTACATCTGATTAGTGGTTTGATTGCTTTGAAATAATCAGTGGTAACCATAAGTTATTGTAGGGAGTGTATATATATGTATATAGAGAGAGAGGATTACCTAATTGAAGTAAAAAATCCAATTAAAATTTTTTTTGAGGATTTTTTTTTTGTTACCTAGTGTTAATTTCAAAAATTGATTGCAAATGTTCTGTTACAGTTTTGTTCTGAATAAAACTTTTTTTGTAATGTTATTTAGAGGTTTTTTTCATTTAGTATTTGTTTTAATATAAGTTGTGATGACTGTAAAATTTATGTTTCATTAGGCAGAGTTAGTTGCCACCTGCCAAACAAATTTGTGCCACTTGAATGCTATTCACAATGAGCTTATTAATTCAAGCTATGAGATGGAGTCTTTATCCAAAGAAGATGTGTTGAAATTAACAGGTTTGTTTTTTAATTGGAAAGTTTCATTCCTTTGTTTAATACTATTTACTTGAAGTATATTTTTTTAAGTTCATAATCTGTTAATAAATTAAAAATTGATTTTTTTTTACTGTTTATAAATTGAAATATATATATCTTTTCTATGGCAAGTAGAATTTTAAAAGTATTATGTATTTCAGTTTGGTTTATTAAGAATAAATGTATAATTTTTTATTTATTATTATAATCATCAAGTCTTTTGCAATAAATGTTTTTAAAAAAAGCTAGCATTATATTTTGTGTACTCCTTAATATCTTTCAGGTAGTTCCAAATTCAGCAATTTCTGTTGTGTTAGCTTCTGAATTTTTGGAACTGTCTGCAGTTTTTTTTCACTTTATATGACTATTTTTAAACTCATTGATGCATTTTGTAAATATCTCAAGCTTTTTTTTTGCTTTAGTTCTTCTGCAAAAGTGCCTTTCATTTGAGTATTTCATATCTAAATACTTTGTAAATGGTAATTTTATAATCCTTACACATTAGGAATTGAAAATCGCTATTGACTGTTAGCAGTTTATTTGAAGCTAGCATTGTCTCACTTGTTAAGTTTAAACATATAATAATAAGAAGAATGCTTATATATCTTTTTATGCTAAATTTTGCATTTTGTGCCCAATCTCCAATTTACTTCCGCTTACCAATAAAAGGAGAAATTAATTTTATTTACAGTTGGAATGTGAGTAAGCAGTAATTTTTAGTTTTCATACTGTCATATAATATGTTTTAAAATTTATTAATAGGAGAGCTGTATAATTTCATATATGATATTTGTGAAACATAATCATTTTTACATAAAATAGGAAAATTCTGATTAGAATTATGGATAAAAAGCTATAAGAATTGTATTAAGGAATAATTTATGTTTCCTTATTTTATGTATACTGCTGTAATAGATAAGTTTGATTCTACATTATGCAATGAAAATTCCATTATTTGTTGTCAGATGTACTCAAAAGATAAGCTGAGAATGAGATAAAATTTATCTATTCCTAGGTTTGATAAAAGAGTGGGAAGAAGTGCAGAGGAAGGTGTTGAATCTTTCAAGAAATGATAGAGATTCAAAGCTTAGTAGTGCTGACTTAGAATCTGCAATTTTAGATGTTCATTGTTCTCTTACTGCTTTGAAAGAGAAACTCAGTGCTATGGCAGTGAATGCCACAGATGCTGTTGGATCTGCTATTTCTCTTGAGCAACTCAAGACAAATATACAAAATTTACAGGTAAACTGAAAAATGTAAATTTATATTATAAAATAGTGTAAGTGCATTTTGATAAGCCAAATGCCTGCAGCATAAGAAACAGTGTTTGATGCTAGATTCTTAAAATATCATATGTAATTACAAAATTACCTAATTTTTTTAAGTGAATTGATTGTGAACGTGTAATTCAAATATATTATTGTACATAAAATGTGATTTTTATTCCCTCCTCAAAAAAGTCTGAAACGTTGCATTTGAAGTAATAGATACAACTAATAAGGAATGAAGGAATAAATTATTAGCATATAGTTAACGAGGGATTAAAACATAATTTTTAGATTCTATAAACTTTTACATAGTATCAAATCAGGCAAAATATAACCTTGGATAGGTGTTAGTTTTGCTGAAAATTCATGATTTAAAATTTTCTCTAAACTAATGTCAGTCCTAGATTTATATTTCATATTGGTGTGCCTCTCTTTTCTACCTTGACTTCAGCTTTTGAAATTTTATTTGTTTATTCTGAATCTAGCTTCAAAATGAAATTTATTAAAACACCAGAATGGAAATATTTTCTTTATTCTGTAAAACTCGATTGAAAATGAAATTTTAAGGTTTGAATTTATACAGGTAAAAAGTGATCTCTGTTTTGATACTAATTTATTGACCAGGAAATTCAAGTTGTCTATTGTTTACTCAGTGTGTAAAGTTAATAATGTAACTAATTTATTAAAGTAAAAGTATGACTGTCTGGCATTCAGTTAACTGGAATATCCTAGCCTTTTTTTAAATGAAAAATTATGCGAATGAAACTTGTAAAGATATACTGTAAATAGTATAGAACTTATTCGAAATCCCACTTATAATGTCTAAAATGTAAATGCATTTGCATGGCCTTCTTGCAGAAGGAACTCAACAGTGGCCAAGTCACTAAACATTGGTAGTTCCGCTTGAGGTTCGAATCTCGTGAATGGACTGCCTGAATGGATGTTTTTATGGTTTTCCCCCTTGTGTAACATGTATGCCAGTCAGTTTCTCTTAAGAAGTCCTCCACAGAGCATCCATCCCCTTAGGCAGATAGCCTTCGAGGCTTTCCGATAATCACATAAACAAACAAACAAACCTTCTTGCAGAAGATGTTGCTAATGTCCATCACCATTTTATTCAGTGTATGATTCCAAGAATTCATCCTTGGAAGCGGCATTCCTTACAGGCATCTTTTCCCATCAAATCATTTTTAATGAAAAGCTATTTGCCAGACAGTCTGATTTAGCTCCAACAATGGATATAACAACAACATCCCAAATAATCAAGATCTTCTATGCAACCATTTTTGTATATTAGCATTATTATCTAAACTTATGACCAGTGTTTTCTGTGATATCAAAGATCTGTTGATGATTGATCACCTTTAATAGGAGTAAAACAGTCAGAGACGAGTATTATAAACAATCAGTAAGAAAACTGAGAGAAGAAATTAAAAACAAACAAAAGGGAAAGCTGTTGAAGGAATTTTTTTTTTTTTTTTTTTTTTTAAATCATTGTCACAGTATTCAGCACATACCTGTGTCAAAGAGAATGGCTATTTATATCAGTTGCAGGATTCCAAATGTTACATCATCCTGTATTCTTGCTTTAAAAAAAAAAAAAAAAAAAAAAAAAAAATTCCCCCCCCCCATTTTTAAACCTGCAGAGGGAGTCTTTCTGAGATGTATTATATGTAATTGTAATACTTTCACTATTTCATTTTATAGCATGATTAAGAACTCTCCTTCCTTCTCCTCCCCAGGGATTAAATATATTGTATATATCAAATAATCATATATATAATATATCAAATTATTTGATTCACTTGGCATTGTTTCCAAAATCCCATTCTATGATCATTTTGATAACTCCTCACACATCAGTCTACAAACATTTTGTGTATCTAATTCTTTATAAAAAACAACAAATGAATTATAAGTACTTTGAATATAATTTGTTACGCATGCAAAGAATCCTGGTGCGGTGCTTCTTATTTTAAAACTGTTATGTATGATTATGCATCTTTGAATAACCAAGATAGTATGTCTCTAAGAAAATGATACATCCTTTCATCGGTTTTCATGAATCCAAATAAAAGTATGCTGTTGCAAGAGAGGTATAAATAAATATATATCCTCCTTATTTGCCACAAATATGCCAGAATATTCTGTAGATAAATTCTCCTGATTAGTTACCTTTGTGAGTATTACTGAAGGGTTTTGAACAAAGCCAGGCATTCTGCCTTGGAGTAAATAAAATTCTTCCAACGTTACTGTACATATAGGACAAAACTTTTCCCATAGTATTTTCTGCTTTATCATATAGTTATTCTTGTAAAAGATCCACACTATTACTAGATAGCTACTCTAATAATTTTATGCATCTCCAAATCAGATGATGGTGGTTCAGTGAGTTTACTAATTTTAACACTTTTACATTTTAAACAATATTTTAATTACTATATACAGAGCGTATTCTTAGGCCGCCGCCTTCAACATGAACAAACTTTATTCTCTCACAACTAAGCGAGCAACAGCGCCCTCTAGCCTTTTTCTTCAAATTACACAACACTCCCCACCTGAACTCGGTGGAGAGTTCATCTTTCCAATAATATATTCTAGAATATTCAATTAATATTTCGACAATAAATCCTGGAGAAATGGTTAAATATAACAAACATGCATACATAATTATAAGCACATAAATTTTACAAAACATTAAATGATACCTATCAGCGAAGTCAGGAGAATCAAACCTAAAAATACAAAATACAAACATTAGTTAAGTTCCATATTATATAACAATTGTATAGGCCTTTTTAAGGTACCAGTAGGTGTTTTAATTATGCAAGATCTTATTTTACCATCTCTGCCTGGCATTAATTCCAAAATTTTACCTATTGTCCAGAGATTTCTGGGATGTTTATCGTCATGAATCAAGACAATATCGTTGATTTTAAACTGAGATGCGTTAGAGTGTGGAGGACAAATATTGGCAGATCTCAGATTAAAAAGATACTCTGATCTCCAACGCTTCCAAAAATGATTTAAAATATCTTGATGGTATTTATATCATTTAATAATTGAATTTCTTGATCCAATCAAATTATTTGATGTTATTTTATTAGCAGGCAGAGATAGTAATCGTCTACCAACCAGAAAATGAGAGGGTGGTTAGTGGAGAAGGTTCATTGGGATCGGTAAACACGTAGGTAATTGGTCTACAATTAATCATTGCCTCGATTTCAATGAGCACTGTTTTCAAGCTCTTTCACAGTAAGGGATGATCGACCAATAATTTTTTTCGCAAGCTGGATTTTATGGTTCGTACCATACGCTCCCAAAAACCCTCCCCACCATGGACCCCTCTCAATAATAAATTTCCAATTTATGCCTCTAGCAGAAAATAATTCTTTCACAGATGAATCACTCAAAGTTTTAAAAATATGTTTTAGTTCTTTATCAGCTCTTTTAAAAGTCTTGGCATTATTGGAATACACGGTGGTACACAGTCCTCGGCAAGCTAAAAGTCTTCGGAAAGCTAGCAAAAAACTTTCAGTGCTGAGATCAGTTACTATCTCTATATGTAAGGCACAAGTGACCGCACACGTTAACAACAGCATGTAAACTTTACCTTGCCTGTCTTTCGTAAAAAATGGACCGGCGAAGTCCAACCCGGTCACAGCAAATGGAGGCTACTCTTGGATTCTGTCTGGAGGAAGTGGAGCGATATCCTGTTCCCCAGGACGAGCACTATATCGTTTGCATATCACACATTTGTTCTGATGATAGTCTTAACACGCTGTCTTCCCTTTTAATGATCCAATATTTGTCTCTGATCTTGAGTTGGTGTCGAATTAACTCCAGCATGGAATACCCTTTCATGCGAGTCAATGATGATCAACTCGGTAAACTTGCAATTTGGAGGGTAATAGAATAGGATGTTTTAAATTCTCGTGACAGTCTGCAAATTGAATGCGACCTTTCAACCGAAGAATTCCCTCCTCATCAAAGCCTTGGATTAAGGGAGTAGATGGAAGAATCGAGAATTGATTTTTTATTTGATAACTTAATTATTTCCGCTTGATACGATTCTCGTTGCGTATTTTTTACCCAATAATGTTCAGCTGCTTTAATCTCAAAAGCACTTAAAGGTCCATTCCTCTGTAGACCTTTTCCGAAGCCTCCCCAATATAATCTAAATACATCGGCAGTAATTCGAAGTAATTTTCCTAAAGAACTGAATTTTTCTATATGCAAAATTGGGCATTCATTGTTTAATTACAGGTGCAGTCAAAATAATACTTTTTTCTTAACTCCAACGATTCTGAATTTGGTTTTAATTTCTTTTGTTTGGAAAGTTTTCAATAGGAAAACGTAACCAGGGTGGCCCATGCCACCAAGATCATTCTTAACTAGTGACTGAGCACTAATTCCTCGAGTTAGTAAATCGGAAGGATTTTGTTTTCCTTCGTAGTGGGTTCCACAATTTTTTGTTGCATATACTCTGTATTTCTGTAACACGATTGGCGATAAATGGTTTCCAATTATTTGGCGAACCTTTAATCCAAGTAATGGCGATTTCGGAATCACTCCAAAAATAAACATCCTCAATTAAATCACCAAACAATTTTTTTTTTCAAATATTTATACATTCAAGCAGCCACGAGTGCTCCCATTAACTCTAAACGAGGAAGCGTGATTGCTCTTAAAGGTGCAACTCTGCATTTCGACATGATAAAGGAAGTTTTAATTTTAGAATCACTCGTACAATATCTGAAATATGCAATGGCCCCATATGCCTTAGGACTAGCGTCCGAAAATAGGTGAAGGCTTATATTCATTGGATCATCATCAAAGAAATTTCGCTGTATCGATATTTCAGTTAAATCATTAAGTTCCTCCCGCCAAATGTTGAATTTGTCCTTAATCTCTGCAGGAAGGACCTCATCCCAGTCAGAACCGGAACACCAGATTTCTTGCATAATAATTTTTGCCCGAATAACAAAGGGTGCAATAAATCCAAATGGATCGTATATTTGGGCGATGCTTTGCAAAAGTTTCCTTTTTGTAGCAAAATCGTTTCCAGTAGAAAAGTCAATTAAATTTTTTAAATTTAACTTTATATTGTCTTCAATGGAATTCCAAATCATGCCTAAGAAATTAGATTCACTAGTTAATTTGTTGTCTGATTCCTTAATCCCATCTGAAACCCATAAATCGTTTAATGCTTTAGAATTAGTTCTTAATTTTCTGAAATTCATCCCAGCATCCTTAAATATGTTAACCGCATCTACAGATAACCGATATGCATCTTCAACCGTTCCTGCTCCAAAATATAGGTCATCGACATAGACAGAAGAATTTAACATTTGGAAACTGTCCGGCATTTTATCTTATATATTTTCGAATGTGATATTTTATAGTGGCGGGCCAAATGAAAAGGAGATATAGTCAAGCCGAAAGCTACGTGACACATTTGCATAATCTTAAAGGAGTCATTATTTTCATTAAACCAAAGAAATTTTAGAAATTTTCTATCACCTTCAGCAATTCCTATCATCAAAAAGGCTTTTTCAACGTCTCCACAAAACGCTATCTTAAACTTACGAAAATTTAACATATTGTCTAGTATATTTGGATTTAGATTAGGTCCCGATTCAAGGCAGTCATTTAACGAATTCCTGTCCTCTGTCCTTGAGCTAGCATCGTACACAATTCTTACCTTAGTAGTTTCACTAGGTCGTATCACTGCTCGGTGCGGCATAAAAATCCCAAATTTGTATCATTATTTGGACATTCCTCCACAATTCCTTCTAATATCTGGTTCTCAATTATATTTTTATATTCCCGAAAAATCTCCGGAGTTTTACTTAGTTTATTGTGAAGGTTTGCGAATCGTTTCTTAGCTACCTCAAAATTATTTCCTAAATTATTCGGACTGTATTTCCAGATTAAATTTGCTTCATATCTTCCGTTTTTAAACTGCAAATTTCTTTCAAACTGGTCTACTATTTCGCAGTCAATATCGGAATAATCATCAGAATTATTAATTCCCATATGTTCTAATTCCCCCAAAACCTTTTAAAAATCTTTCAACACAACAGTGTTTGTCATTACCGCTAAATTTTCAGAACAATTTTGTTTGTTTTATTTTTCTCGATTTCCTGCGGCAACCCAACCAAACACAGAACTGACTGCGTACAACCCTTCAGATATTTTAATTCTTTCAGAATAAATTACATTCCAGAATTCATCCCTCCCAATTAATATCTCACATCTATGTTATTTTTTGTTGCGCAATCGGCGATCTGCAACCCCATATGCTCCATGAAGTCTGCAATTTGTTTACTAGGCACACTGATGGACGCCGAGGAAATAACATCCGAGATCAAACATTCAATTTTTATTTTATTATTTTGTTTCCAATTCTGAATTTCGATTTCAACGACCGGATAGGAATGATTCATTGCCTTCGTCGCACCAAATGAATAAACAGAAAGTCTTTCATAACGGATTGGAGTAAGTTTTAAATGGTCGGTCACAATTTTTTTCGTTATAAAGGATCTGTGACTGCCTTGATCAAGAATTAATCTAGTTAATTTTGATTTATACTTAGAACAAGCATAAACTGTACAAGTTTGTAATAATATTTCCCTGGCATTACAGTCATTATATTATCACCTTGAGGAACAGAAGCAATCAATTTTAAGTTTTGAACTTTATTTCTTTCTCAGAATTCAAAGTCAGAGATTCAGTTTGCATTTTCCGGAATAACCTTGTTCCGAATTTTTGTTTTACAAGGGGATTTATTAGTACAAATCGATTCATTGTGATACGTACCGCCACATTTATTACATTTAGTTTTATTTCTGCACTTTTTTTGATGTATGGAATTTTTTTAAAACAAAGAAAAGCAGCGGTTTTCGGATCTTAGTTTCTTTAATTTATCAGAAACATTCACTTCGCATTTAAATGACTCGTGCAAATTATCACAAAAGATGCATTTTCGGTTAACTGCAGTATGAAATGCAGCCGTGGGTGTATTTTTTACATATTTTCTAGTTTCATATTTTGATTGATCGACTCGCGGAGGCACGGGATTTTTCCTTTCGCTTAATACTAGATTTGAAACTTCCCTGCATTCTATTTCCGTTTTAATAAATTCTGTTAATTCCGAAACTTCAACTTTATCTTTCGATCCTCTTTGCCGATTAAATTCCAAAACTAAATCGTCCGGAATTAATTTTATTAATATTGGAATTAATAAATGTCCATATGAGCCAGAAGTTACTTCTAAAGTTTCCAAATTACGAATTGAAACTTCTAATTCGTCATATAATTTACGTAAAGCCTTTACGTTAGCAGAATTTTTAACGGCTTCTAAATTGTGAATTTTATTCATGAATGAATTTAATGATCAGGTCTTTTTCGACCATATCTGTCCCTTTAGTAATGCTACACAATCTATCATAATTCCTTTCTGTTAACTCAAAGCCTGCACACAACATTCGAAGCTTGTCCCGTTAAGAACGTTTTTTAAGTATACAAATTTTTGTATTTTTGAAAGCGTTTCGTTTTTATGTATCGAATTTTCGAAACTATTCCAAAATTCATTCCATTGTTTGGGGTCTCCCCCAAATTTATCAATCATTAATTTGGTAATTTCAGCGTACTACTTCCCACTAGAACTGGAACTTACATGCAAAATTCCATTACCACTAGACTGGTTTAAATCAGAACTTTGGGGATTCCGCGCTGGCGGTACTTGCGGTAACCGCATCCTAGAAAACTGCTTAATTTGACTACAAGCAATTATACATTTGTCATTGTATTCCGTCGCTTATAACTACAATATTCTTCAATTAAGTTAACATCAATTAACTCTTGTATTTCATCATCAAGCGTTCTCTCAAATTATTTTTCTTTTCGGTTAATAATTCAAACAATTCTCGTAATTCTTTAATCGAATTTTCCTCCCCTTCAATTTTTAATTTATCTTCAATCACTTTAATTAACCTAGTAACAACGATCTCAATGTGGAATGTTTATGTTTTCAATCTATCTAACTTTTCTTCCATTTTATTTAATTTAAATACACCCACGACAGCAATAATAAATACTTACTAATGTACTACAAATAATCACTAAATAATTAATTTAAGATTTCCCTACCTTTATTTGGAATTCCATTGTCCCTCGAGTATGAAATATCCATTGAAATCGAAACACTTGGATCGAACACCTAAAATCTTCACAAAGCCTTAATTCCTTACGCCGATGCACCATCTGATAATTTTGTGCATCTTTCAAATCAGATGATGGTGGTTCAGTGGGTTTACTAATTTTAACACTTTTACATTTTAAACAATATTTTAATTACTATATACAGAGCGTATTCTTAGGCCGCCGCCTTCAACATGAACAAACTTTATTCTCTCACAACTAAGCGAGCAACAGCGCCCTCTAGCCTTTTTCTTCAAATTACACAACAGCTACCTTATCATTTCTTTCTATTCAGTATTATAAATTGATGAGAATGACTAATTTACAGTTTGTGTTTTATATATTAAATTTTATCTTTTAGGCTGGCTTGTCTAATCTTCAAGAAATGAAAGAGTCTGTACTGTCCATCAGTGCCCGGATTTTAAGGCTGATTGCCGAGGGAGGAGGTCATGCTGTAACTCCTCTCAGAGACAATGCTACAAAATTATATCGACAATGGGAAGATGTATATGAATTGTAAGTAAATTCCTAATGTGTATTATGAATACTAAAGCTAGGGAAGGGGGAAGTAAGATATTTTCTTCATGCTTTATATAATATTTGTTATATGCTCTCTAAAAAGATAGTTAAGCATGTTTCTGTAAAATAGTTTGAATAATATGAATTCTGGGACTTGATTTGGTATCCTAAAATGTGGGTCTTATGGTTGGAAGAATTTTAAGAATAAAACTTTACAACTGAAGAAATGTGTTTGTTCCTCTTTTTAGTCCAAAGGGGCAATTTGCCCAGAAGGACTACAGTCAAAAGTCGTTAATCTGGACTCGTCGGGACTTCGGCGATTCCGGATCATCGATTTTTCCGGAGTATAGATCATCACTTTAAATCAGGTAAAATGGCATGCAGAAATTATAAAATTAAAAATATGAAACCGTAATTTATGCAATAAAGAGCAATTATGATCTAAAGGGTATCAAAATTTACAAAAAAAGCTTAATATTTCTTTGTTTACTTTATTAACCATTTCTTTCAACGCGCACATGCATAAAGCACACATTACGCATAGTCGAAATTAGAAAATTGCAACCAGAAAACTATTTGATTTGTATTCGTGATATTTATAATGACGAGGAATTTGATTTAAATCATATCAAAGACGGAGTACATCGAGATGAAATACATTTGGAAAGGAATTATAAGCCGAATAAAATAAAAACATCTGCCCTGAAGATAAGGATAGTGCTGACAGATCAACTTCCAATTCATTGCGGCGTCCCCCCCCCAGAGCAGCGTGAAATTGATAAACAGATTTCGAAATGGTTAGGTCATTTTTTGCAGCAATTCCACTTTTGTTTAATGGACTTCGAAACATACTTTCGCTTTGTAGATCCTTTACATATTAGTAAATATATATCGGAAATTCTATTTGACATAATCGAAAGTTTAAGCTTACTTTTATAAAATTGCTCTAACAGTCTGCAAAAAATAATAAGCTGGATCTAATTCGAAGATTAAGGAACAACGCAATCTGCAACATTAACTGAATTAGATAATTTTAGCTTAGCTTATAACGTCCGTTATACATAAAACGCGCATGCGTAAACGTATTTTGCGCATGCGCACACACATATTCGCAGCGTAAAGGTGTTACGCGCATGCTTCAATGCAACGCATGCGCAGAAAGTTTGTAGCTTTGAGGTCCAGATTATGGGTGTCCGAATTAACGACTTTTGACTGTATTGATTTCATTCTGGCATTTTGTGTTGATTCACTACAAGCATTGTTTCACTTTTCAAATTGTTGCCACCAAATATTATCACCATGTATTATATTTAAAGAAATTAAATAATGAAGAATCTGCATTCTTGTACTGTGATAAAACAATGGTACCTAGAGCCATCCAATTTTGAATAATGTAATCCTCCTGTGAGGGCATCTGGAAACCCAAATTCGAGATTTGCAATATGGAATATAATATTGTATATACAATATTTACTTGCATATTTTCCCTTCCCTTTTTAGTGCAATGTTCATAAGTTTTTTAAATATTCATATAATTTCCCCCTTCTTCAAAGAGTTCAGAAAATAAGCTTTCTTAAATTTTAAAAGGGATTCATTCATGTAGTAGTTGATTTCATCTTATTACTAAATTTGCTCATGGATTTTAAAGGCATAGGCTCTGATTGATGAAGCAATTCTAGTGAGCTTCTTCAAGAAACCTGTGATATTTAATACTGTCGATTGTTCTGAAATTCATTACATGAGGAAAGACTTGAATGGTGATGAAGGTAATGACAATGGTCACTATATCCGGGCTCTAGCATATGGTAGCGACAGCAGTTCCAGTAGCATTAAATGTTTTGAGGGCTAGGAAGTTGCAGATGGTAACAACAAGAGTATATGAGATTCAGGCTTATAGAGGATAGAAATGAAGATATCTGAGTAGATATTGTAATGTTAATATTACGTATTTATTCTCATTTTAATGTAGATTTCTTTTAAATAAATAATTTTGTGATAGTTAGTTACCAGTAGTTTATCCATGAATGAGGTGTTTAGTTCTTACTGTAACTATGTCCTTTGGAAATTTATCATAATTTTCCCCTCTTAGTTTCCATATGATTAAATCTGTTAAAAAGGGGGAAAATATAGAGGGAGGATAACTGCGGCCATTCAAAAGGCACTTTCATTGTCTTAGATCCTCCAGGAAATGATTTAGTGTCTTTTCATATGTGGAGCACCATGTGACTTTATGTATATTTTTATGTTCAAAGAAGGTTCCTCCTATAATAAGTTCATTTGCATTTGCAAAGTCGTGAAATCTTAAGCCATTATCACTACTCTCCTCATGTAAACTGTGATTACCCTCAGAGTTCCCCCACTTTTATCATGCCAGTCTTTGCATATAAAGTCATCAATAATCAGTTTTACATCATTTGAGGGCTATTTATCATAGGAATCTTCAAATTTATTATAGAATTCATCCTTAATAGTATTGCATTTGTCCTTAGTAGGTGCATGTACACTGATAATACTAATATTTGAGGACAAGCTCGAATTGGCACTTCACAGTTCCTTTCATTTATAGGTTGGAAGTCTATTATTTTGTCCTTTATTTTTCCAGTTTCTACAAACTTATCCCGAAGCAGTTTTGCTTATCCTGAACAGTTATATAAAACACTGCATCTTTTTTTTTTGTCCAAAATTCCTTGGCCAAGCCATCTGATCTCCCGATTGGCCAAAATATCTAAATTATAATTCTCAAACATGTCAACCAGATTTTTAAGACTGTGCACACATTCTGAGTGCCAATATGCTAGCCTGTTGCTGTTTCATGTCATTTAGGTGGTATCCGTTCATAATTTAGCTTATGAGTTTTTAACTGGAATTTTTTTTTTACAGGGTGTGTTAGTTAGCCCCATGTCCAACCCTCAACCTGGAGGACCAGTCCCTTAATATAATTCCCAGGGGCAGGGTGCCTGGTTCTATCCCCGGACATTGGGTACCCATTTTAGTCACCTCTTAATGACATGTATGAGCAAATGGGTTATATTGCACATTAATAATACAATAACCTAGTCCTTCAGCTTCTTAAGTCAACTGCTATTTCACTTTAAAACATAGTGCATGGGCTGACAATATTTTGTAACATATTCCTGTTTCATCTGTATTATAAGTTTTGCATGGCTTGTATTTATTTCGTAGCCTCAGTAAAATGTCTTTATTGCAGTTATCAGCTGCATGGTGATCTGCTTCTTCCTTCTTACCAGGCTGTTTTTGATGAACAGTGCTGGATTTCTCTTTCTCCAACTTGTGAACCATCCGTCAGTTGATATTAAATTCTCTTCTAGTATGTAGCAAAACAGTGGAAAAAGCTCTGGAAGTAGAAACACTTTTAGTTTTATAGCTAAAAATCAATTTAAAAAAGTAATTTCAACGTCTAATTGGTTTTCTGATAGTTTTTTTGCATCCTTGAGTCATTTGTATTTTTTATTAGTTCTTCATCAAATATAATTCCTTGTTTAAGTAAATTGCAAAATGCTGTGTAAGAAATTCCTAGTTGAATTGTAGTTTCTCTCTGGCTGCAGTTACCAAGAACGTGAAATAATTTAGCAACTTATCCATTTCTTTCAGATAGAAGTTTTTTTTAGGGGGAAGGGGCTTTTGCACTTTCAACATGTTAAAAATGCTTGTTTCAGTGATTTATTCAAATTTTTAGCTTTTATAAAGATTGCTGTCTGTCTAATTATTTGATCTGCCATTTCATGTTCAGAAGCATAACCACTGCTTTCTTTACTTTTTCTTCAACCTCCACTTAATGACGTTCTTCCCATTTAAAGACTCTAAATGTATGGTAATGCTGAGAAACATTTCATGAACTTTTTTTTTTTTTTTTTTTTTTGTAACTATCTGTGAACATTAAGTATCTGTCTATCTGTCTCAAAGCAAAAATTTTGGATATAGAAATCATAAAAGGTGGGATACAGAAGTAGAATTGCTACCTCTTGCCAGCTGGTATTTGAGAACAAATTCGATTGTCAGTGGGGGAACGGTCTTTATTAAATAAATCCAAGATGATAATGTTTAAAATCCTAAAACACATTTTTCTAGTGTGTTTTCCTTATTCTAATTTAGAATGTAACTGTCAGGAATTGAATTTTGATTATTATTAATAAAATAAATCATTATACATTTATTTTGACATTATTATAATTTTCATTTTATTTACTGTTATATTAGAATGTATTAAAATTTTTCTTGTAAAATTTTTTAAGTTAAAAATTGTCCTTTTCTGTGTGTATATTCCTAATTTAATATCAGTGGAGATTTTTAACACTTTCACGTTTACCATTTCCATCAACTTCACCAAAAAGTATAAATTGAGTTTAACTAATGACTGACTATCTAAGTTTTCAAAGAGAATATTGGCAATTAAAGCATTTGGGCTGTATCTCTTATATTCCTCCCCTCCAATAACTATGCTGGTTTACAGTTAATTGCCGGCTTTTGCTAGCTTAGAAATGTGCGTTTAGAAATTTCTCATGAATTAGGTTGGTTAGTTAAATATGGCAAAGCACACTGAGGCTAACTACCTAAGGGGAAGAATGCTTTCATGGAGGACCTATTTAAGAGAAAGTGCTTCTTATTCATTTTGTGCATGGGGAAAACCATGAAAAGCAGCAGCCAGCCCATTCATCTGAGCTGGACTCCAGCACAAACTACCAGTATTTAGCAGTCTTTATGGCTCAGCCATTGAAGGGTCAGGTATTAATCTCTAATTTGCTGTTTGATTTGCAAATATTTAAATTATTATCATAGTCTTCAGCTCAAAAAGTAGAGTTTGTGTTACATGTTAGTTTTTAAACTGCCAAATTATAGTGCAAATGAACATTAGGCTACATTTGCTATTATTATACATTTAGTGTTGGAATTTAAGCTGAAAATAGGACATTTATTTCCCTGTAATTTGATACCTCTGGGAAGATTAAAAGAAGAGTTTACATTAAGTGATAGTAGTT